AATGGATGCTCGAGCAAAACCACTGGTGCATCTATGTGAACAGGTATATACTATTTTGTTAGCGGGTGGCAAACAACTAGTGTAAGTAGCCATGTGGTGGTGGTTAAGCAGCGCGTGTTGATGAGGCGTGGGACGTTAATAAGGTGAGAGAAGATTACAAGATACTGAATACAGCATGTGATGAGATTTATGTAACTGTAATGAGGTAGATGTACGGGTGGTGGGTTGCGTAACTGTTCACCCGAGAAGTAACATTACTACTCTCTATTGCACGAGGCGATATTCTGAGTACAAATTACTGATCCACCCAAAAATACCTCACGAGGTAGACATAGGCAACACTTTAGGAACCCAGACATTACGTATCGGATTTCAAAATATATATCGGTATACCCTTCTGAACCAGTTGCTCAGGCCAGTCCTTGAAAGTAGCCATCCTCTAGTGTCCGTATAGCATATCTTCGTTGTAACAGTTGTCGCTTAAATCAGACAGCAACCTCCTCAGCAAATTTTGACATGGGACTCCAAGGTTGACGACCTTAGTATTACATTACTCGCTGTGGTCGCTGGCTGTTTCCTCACTTGTAGGTTGTCCATAGTTTCATGGATGGTCCATTCAAGATGACGGTGTTGGAGTGCCATCGATCAGGACGCTTGTAATTTCTTGGGGTAAACTTGGGTATTCCAACAAATACAGATGCTGATGGTAGGCAGATACAGAGGTAACAGGCTCAGGAGTAAGCTCAACAGTTACCCTACCTGGATTCTCCACCAGTTGTCAACACGTTTGTCGACAGGGGGACTTAGATCAGAATGAAGAAGGGGAAAAAAAGTTGAGCCAAACTTCAGTCTTCTATAAAACAAATAAATTACTCATAAAAATATGCCAAGCAAAAATTCAAACTTGACTACTCTACGTCAAGTCCAGCAAGCGAGCGCATTCTACTTGTGGTTGTACATTCAGTTGCAGTCGGAACACCAGACCAACAGTATAGATGTTAACTTGTATATAGTAATGGGCAACAATGGACAGAGACGATGGCATTGCCCTGGTCATGGGACTTACAGATGTAATTACGGGCATGGACCAGAGGATAATCAATTAAGGGTATAAATGCCATATGAATTACTGTGTTAGACAATGGCAAACTTGACCGTATTCCGATTCTGTGATTGAGAGTAGCAGTCTGAGACCAACTTGGGTGTGCCGTGGATGACTGTAGACTTTGGGGAATAGCAGGAATTGGAGAGACGAGGGATGGGGCATTAATGCGTGCTTTTTTCATGCTAATGGAGTCAATCCGACATGAAAAGCATAATGACTGATGAGGTCACTCTAGTTTTAGGTCGTCTATATATTCCAGACTATTCCCCAACGTCTACAGTTATCTACAACACACCCATGTATATGTAAATGTATATTTATGTGCGTGTGCGTGCGTGCGCATATACACACATACACACACAACGCTATTGTTGCACTTGGTTCTGAGGAAGGAATTCTCTGGTCATTCTGATAGTGCATTTTACATTCTACTGACACTGCCAATAAGCGAAAACCAATAGATCAACCATACCATGAAGATGGATTAACATTCCCATGATTTTTCCATTACATAAGAGTTACATTCGAGTGCTACACATTTTGTTGTAGACACTATGATAAATGTATGGTATGTTGTAGATGCATGTGACATTGCACCAATGTTTTCAGTGTGGCTAAGATAATCCTTCCTCACAATCTCGGGGATAATACTGAGATAAACGTTTAGGCCAAAACTTTAAGATCTTAAAACCTACAACTAATAAAAAAATACGGCCTAATGTATACATACTGATTGTAGTCATTACATCAAGGATTAAACAGTTCTTGTACTTTTATAGTGTTCATGTTTCCATGACGACTTTAACAAACCATGTATGAGTCATACAAATTTATGTTGTGTTGTAATAAGTCTGATATATCCAGCTATTTTGTACCTCCAACCTGTTTAACTGTTATGAAATGTGTCATGTAAACATGCTTTGTAATCCTACTCTTTGGACAGTTGGTTCAACACGAACTGCACTGTCATCACCTGTTTGAATAAAGACATAAGATGGAACCAATTGTGGTATGTCGTTCTGTTTTTGTTTCCTTGTTTCTTAGCATCCGACCTATTATTTTCATTGCATGTATTTTCCAAGATAGTTTTTTTATCCTTCCCCTGTGATTTCAAGATGCCCGCTGTACCCCATAATGGGTGGATCTCTAAGACAAGCTTAATTGATGATTCAGAGGTCGGATTGATCCGTCGAACCAAAATAGGCGTCTCGTGTTGATGGAGTATACGTTTGAAAAACAAACATGTTGGCCTCATTCTGACATTAAGCATTGACTGGAACTCTCGAGAGTCGAAACAAACATACACACTACAAATATTGCTACTATTTTACTTTAGCATGTTGGTTCGTTATGACCCTGGAGGCCCTGTACCCCCTGATGGTACTTGTTGTTACCCTGACAGGTGTTCGGCATTAAGGGGCTAAAACAAGGACTGGTCGGCTCGGAGTCCGTATACTGTGTCTGAGTGGGGGTATTCATGTTAAACTGCCGCATGGTATCTCGGTGAGCTAGCACTATAAAATCGGCATCAGTCCGGATGAGTACACACCACACCACAGAGAGTTGTATGCAATAATCTAGAGCGCGACGTTAAACCCTATTTCACCTCACCTCACCTCACCACGGATTTAATACACTTGTATCTGTGAAGATTCGGCTCAGAACAGGCCTTCAGCAACCCATCCTTGTCGTTAGAGGCGATCGACTAACGGTATCGGGTGGTCGGGCTCCAGACTTGGTTGATGCATCGTGTCCCATTTGCGTTGATCGATGCTCATGACATCAATCACTGGATTTTATGGTCCTGCCTTGATGATTTACAGACCGTCATCATATAGCGGGAATATTGCCGAGTGCGGCGATAAACAACAAACACTACAACAAATAATTCTTTTGTGTTTCCATAATATATAACACCATACCATACTCGCTTTGATGCGAGGATACAGCGATACTAGCAGCTTGGGTTATCAATCAGACTCAAACCACTCACGAACCCGCTCCTTTCTACGGAAAGAGCCAGTCCCGAACAAGCGCATTCGCGTGTCAGTTTAGTCACTAATTAATAAATGTGTGTGAAGAAATTACACGTTAAATGTCGTGGCATCGTAAAGGTACAACATGTAGCACTGTCTACAGAACTTAGGGGTCAGCTTGAACCTTGCTGAACAGAATTTGCTGAGGTGAGGCCCATGGTGATCCGGTCAGTCCCAAGTACCAAATTCTTGTAAGAGAAGACTGTTGGGTAATGAATTTCCATCGTTTGCCATCTTGCTCCGATCACCGTCAACCAACGGTTGTCCCCGACCTCAGGGGGGTATATCTACGCAACCCTTATATTGTGGAACGCGGAACAAACATACCAAAGAACACATATCATAAGAACACGTGCACATGCCATAGGACCACGTACCTCACCTCACCTGAAAGTGAATGGCTTACAAAAAGTACAATTGATTCTGTAACTAGATACTTATTATGGTTATAGAAGTGTTTTGCCACTTTTTATTAAAAAAGGAAACGTTTACCAATTTTCTTTTTCAAGTATTTTATCAGGAACAATGGCCCGATGTCAAATATCTCTTACAAGTTTCAACAGGATCAAATGAGGCATCTCGATGAGGAGTCAACTGGAATAATGAAGAGAATGCAAACTAAAGCATCAACTCAGTGACAGTGGTATAGAACAGAGCAGACAGATGTCAATGACCACACTTAATCCTGTTTTTCTGTACATGCCAATGGCGGTGTTTAGAGTACACAGTCACTGGCGTCCCCGTGAAGACCCGGTCTAGAATTGGTCTTCAGCAACCCATGCTTGAGGCGGCTAACGGGATGGGGTGGTCAGGCTGGCTGACTTTGTTTGATGGTCATCGTGTCCGAGTTATCATGATGTCAATCACTGTGTTGTCTGGTCCAGACTCGATTACTTACAGACCGCCGTTACAGAGCTGGAATGTTGTTGAATGTGGCGTTAAACGAAAAACAACCTAACAATGCCTGCCGTGGAGCACGTGGGTTCAAAACATGACGCGGCAAAAATAACCAATCACAAAAACCTCTTCAGCTCCGGTCCTCCTGCGAATGTATATCAGGACAAACGGAGTGTTGGTATTTAACCATACACCCGATACTGCCGAAGCATTGAGTTACGCCGTATCGCAGGATATATCGAGATAAGTGACTTCGTGTTAACAGCGTAAACATTGAAGTAGAGAGCTCGATCTTTGGAATTTACTGATGAAATGGTTGTCTTATTTCAAATTGCAAGAAACTGGGACCCCAGAAGACCCGGGGTAGATTAGGTCTTCAGCAACCCATGCTTGCCATAAAAGGCGACTATGCTTCCGGTAAGAGGCGACTAACGGGATCGGGTGGTCAGGTTCGCTGACTTGGTTTGATGCATGTCATCGTGTCCCAATTGCGTGGATCGATGCTCATGATATCAGTCACTGGATTGTCTAGCCCAGACTCGATTATTTACAGACCGCCGTCATATAGCTGGAATATTGCTGAGTGCGGCGTTAAACAACAAACAAACAATATAACAAATAATTGTTGTGTTTCCATAATATATAACACCATACCATATTCGCTTTGATGCGAGGTTACAGCGGTACTAGTCTAGATAAATGCAAGAAACTGGTTTTCGCAAGTGCCATAAACAATGACACACTTGTCCCTGTCAGAAAAAACAGTTAACTCCGTCACCAGGGTGAATTGATTGATCAATAGTGATGGTTAAATAGTGACAGTCAGTATACATTATCTACCTTTGCGAGACGAACAGACCGTGACAAGGGAACGCAAATACACAGAGCTGAGTGATTAATGATAAATGACACTCGAGCAGGCGTTGACAGACACTTTCATCGCAACACAAACCACCCGGGCACGTGACACCCGGATATGTACACCACGTGACCGTTAGCGTTTACATATAACACATATTGTATGAGCGGAGGTACTTCTGTCGGGATTTAGTAAACGATATATTACACAGTCAACGCTTTAAGAATCTAGCCATGGCCAGTGTTGTGGTCGAAATTGAATACTGGTAAGTAGTTCAAGCTGTTTAAATTCATTGGTTTTTTTACCTGTGTAAATCGTACAAAGCTCAAGAGTACAGTTACTTAAAGCAGGACATCCTGTTTGACTGCAAGTTCTCTATTATAATACGGAAATGAGGTATTAATAGGGCCTCGTGGTACCATTTGAGCTCGACTAGGGAGGGAATGGTTGTTTAAAAAAGTAGAAACTGGTCCATTTTCTCGTCACTGTCGAATAGATGTAAATGAAATTATTTCATGTCGTAATATGCAAGGTATGTGCCGACTTATTTAATCCATTCATGGATGGAACCCGTTTGAATGGACCCAGGCTCAGAGACGAATTGAAAAGATATAAAGCATCGTAATATACGTAATATGTGTCCAGGAAATATATATTTTTCATGCCAGTGTCCTTTATATTCCACAGTGTGTTTGCAGGTTGAGAACTCATATCGATTATACATTGTTCTTTCCGATCAATACACTTCGCCATTTGTCCACAGTCACTAATGTACATTAGTGCACGTCAGGTCAGTCGGCTGATAGCCGTATGTACTCGCCATGACAGTGGACATGATCATTGTGTGACTGTCCAATATCTCGATCATAACAGATATAGGTCAGTACATTTATGTTGACGCGCGAGGTTCATCTCCTGGGGGAATGAAAACTAGCTGAGTCATTGTGCAGTCGCGCAATGTCATGGAGCGCGTTATGTTGGCGCAGTCGCAATACAAAGACAAATCCCGTCACGGTAGCTGTAGGCTTAGTGTACCGAGTCGTGCGTGATCCGAATTCTTCACCAGGTGTAGATATAGTGACACCTGCAGCTGCTTAGTCATCTAGGCCTCTAGGGTCGGGTAGTTTAACTTTTCATGAACTCTTGTAAACAAATTTGTCGTTGGAGCAGTTTAGCATTTGAATCACACATAGATCGATCTACCTGTCCTGTCAGGATTCGCCTGTACATTTATACGATAGGTGACAAAGGATCCCACGTTGATGTCCAAAGTCGGTCAAAGTATTGGCACCGTGCCAGATTACGGACTACACGCAGTCGGGGTGTGACAGGAAACAAACACGGCCAGCACGTGCAGACACGAGTTTCTAGAGAAGGAGGGGTGCTTTTTGTCACACCCTAACATATAGCAAAATCAAGATGAAAGCAAATTCTTCGCAAAGCAATTTGGTAGTTATATTTTTGGGGAAACATCACCAAATGAGTTTAACTGCCTAGCAATGAAAGTCAAACAAGAATTCGATGGTGATCGATATTCCAGCCATATGATGGCGGTCTGTGACCAACTCTGACAACTGGGGTATCTCACTAATGGCGTTTGACCTCTGACAATAACCTTTGATACGCTGTATTTGTGCCAAGGCCCAATTAGTACTAATTGAGTTGTTTGAATATTTATATATTTTATATATTAACTGCATTTATTTAAAATCTGAGATCGAAAAAACAGGGTTTTTTTCATTTCCGTGAGTACTTTAGTGACAACTTAGGTAACAGAGTCAGGACATGTCTGTTTTCAAAGATACCCTTCAAATTAACGTAACCTCATAAAACTACGAAATAATTGACGAAAAATCATAAACATTTTAGAAAGTTGTTTTTGTTTTGAAATTACTAAATATCTCATGTTAAATGTTTTCAATTAATGTCACACTGAAATTTCTGCCAGATGCACTTACAGAATATCATTAGTTGCAGCTTCCGCCAGTTAGTGAGTGAGTGGGTTGGGTTTAACGCCGCTTGTTTCAGTATTTCCGTTACATCACGGGGTGTCAGTTGAATGTGGGAGGAAAGCTCGAAGTGATGCAGATCTCAGACTTCAGCGAAACCCACGAGCACAGTATGATGCTGACAAACCTGAAACATCTCCTTTCAGGGGAAATATGGGGGTATTGAAACACGTTGTCCTGACGTCACGCCATGGTCATAGTTGAAACTTAGGTGCCACACTTAAACGGACACCCGTGAAGATCCGGTTAGAATTGGTCTTCATCCTTGCCATAACAGGCGACTTTTCTTGTCGCAAGAGGCGACTGACGGGATCGGGTGGTCAGGCTCGCTGTCTTGGTAAATGCATGTCATCGTATCCCAATTGCGTAGCTCGATGCTCATGTTGTCGATCACTGGATTGTATGGTCCAGACTATATTACTTAAAGACAGCCATCATGTAGCTGGAATATTGCAGAGTGCGGCGTTGAACAACAAACAAACAAACCTCTTTAACGGAGTTCCATAGGCGTAAAAGTTCTATTCAAGTATCGAGTTTTAAGTCACAGCGGTGTTTCAGATAAAGTGTTTGATGCTGATCACTGTGTTTCAGTGGCGGATGAGGCTACGCTCCTCGGTACGGGAAGCTGAGGAACTACCTCGCTTCCAAGACCGGGGCTGGCGTCAGCGGCAGGGTGGGGCGCAGGGGTAAGTAGATGTCTGGCTACTCACAGGTGGGGGATGTAGAGTGAGTGAGAGAGTCAGTTGGGTTTTTCGCCGCTTTTAACAGTATTCCAGATATATCATATATCACGACGTGTCAGCCTGATGTGGGAGGAAAGCCCGAAATGAAGCAGGTCTCAGACGTTTACCACTTTGGTGAAACCCGCGAGATCGGGTATGGTGCTGACAAACCTAGAAGCATAATAGGGGCGAACAGGGATTCGAACCCACAATCATAGGTTGCTGGCGTGCCCAAGGCGAATCGCGGCGCCTTAGACGACTGGGCCACCCGTGCCCCCTGGGGGTGGAGAGAGAACAGGGGTAAGTATGTGTGTATGCCCCCGGGTGGTGTAGAGAGAACAGGGGTAAGTATGTGTGTATGCCCCCGGGTGGTGTAGAGAGAACAGGGGTAAGTATGTGTGTATGCCCCCGGGTGGTGTAGAGAGAACAGGGGTAAGTATGTGTGTATGCGAAATGTTTTATCTCAGGGCACTGAAAGTATTGACAATGTGCATCAGAAATAATAATTATTTGCTCAAAAAACAATGTTACTTATCGTGGGTTAATTTAAACTCGCATCCGTGTGATCCAGTTTTACAATTACTGCTAAACTGAACTAAGACAAATCACTACATGATAACCCTGATGATGCTTGTCGTAAGAGGCGACTAACGGGATCGGGTGGTCAGGCCCGCTGACTTGGTTGATGCATGTCATCGTATCCCAATTGAGTGGATCGATGCACATGATATCATTCACTGGACCACTCGAGTATTTACATACCGCCGTCATATAGCTGTAATATTCCTGAGTGCGGCGTTAAACAACAAACCACCAAATCGTTGTTTGTTGTTGCAGGTTCGTTTGAAGTGACTGTGAACGGCAAGCTGGTGTTCTCTAAGTTGAAGGTCGGATCATTCCCCTACGACGAGGATGTAAGTATTCAAGTTGCTATGTCGTTATGGCGTTGTGAAATACTTAAAGGGGAAGTGTACACGCAAAAATCACTTTCTTTCTTTTTCTAAACAAAACGCAATTTTAGAATTAGTTAGTATCTGTGTTTGAAAATATACACTCATTTTTTCTCACAGTGAAAGTAGGAAGCTCACAATAGTGTTAAAATGATATGCCGTTATGAGGCCTTCGTTTTACGAGCAAAATAGGCCTGAGTTATCCCCCTTAGATTATGACGTAATTGGTGCTAATTCAACTGGGTCCCTGTCTATTCTCAACGCAAAAGATATCAAGGACCAGTTTTTATGTAAAACAACATGGTCTACGACACACTCCGGCGCAGTGGTGACTCAGTATAACACAATTCTGGCTGGCATCTGAGACGCTAAAATCACAAAACTGTACCTACACCACGTGAAGCGGCTCTAACAAAGCATGATGACGTCATAATGTTTATCAAATGGCACCAATGACGTCATATTGCAAGGGGCATAAGCCATGGTGTTTTTGTTATGGAAATAGAACACTTAGTAAATGTGAAAAATATAAATCGTTTTAATGCAAAAAATATGTTAATTAAATATGATGTTTTTATATTTTTGTCTATGACACTTCTATGTTAACACTTTTAATGTGGAAAAAGTACAAGAAAAATTGGTTCATTTCCGTGTGAACTTGCCCTTTAAACGTTAGCCACAGTCACACAACGTCAATTGTCAACATTGTCACCGTATACCCAACTATTGGAGGTCAACCCATACAGAATATATGGCAGAGTTGTAGCCGTCAGTGAAATCAAACGAAATGAAGTAAACAAAGGTCACGTGATGGTGAACGTGTATTTTACTAAAGGAAACAATATAAGCGGATGAATACACAATGCCATTCAGAAAGTGGTCAAATGTAACACATGTTATATTTGGGATTACACTTTCTAAGTCAATGTGGAAGCCTCAGTGGCTGAGTGGGTGACTCGTAGATCGCTGACTGTGTGTGCTAGCGATTAGGTGCCTCACTCTGGCAGTGCTGGTTCGAATCCCGGATGGGACTCAACCCCCAAACGTACTAGAATATGTACTTCACTATGAAAGTGTAATCCCACATATAACATTTGTTAAAATATATGCGAACATGGATAAATAATACAGGAATCACCGCCATATTTAAAACTAAAAAAATTATTTATATGTGATTTGAAATTTGGCATGTTTGTAGTCAGAGACCGTATACCGACATATGGTATCTGGTGTAGGTAATAGTGGACCTTAAAATATATGTTCCATTGTTTTGCGATGTCATGGTTTTTCACTTTGATTTGACCTCTAAATAGTTTGTGTCACCACAGTGAATAGACTGTATTAATATCAAATTGGATGAAACATTGGAAAAGAGTATCTTAGACCCCAATGCAGACAAGCCAGCCTCCACGTTTCCTTTCTTTATGACCGGTAAAGAAATACACCACTACTTCGGCAGTAGAGGCTTATTTTGTTCAAATCATTATGATTTTACTTTATTTTGTTTCTGATAAGACATGTAAAAATCAAATTTTACAAAAAGTTTCAAAAATGTAATCTTAAGAACCACAGGGCACCTAAAGCTGAACTTTGCGAGAATGGAAATGACAAAAGTAGATTCAGGATTGTTCAGCATCAAGTCTGGCTCTCAACTTTGAAAAAATGCAGTGTTTTCCTCTTATTCCAAGAATCTATTGCACCCAGTTTTCTTTTCTAGTTAGAATGTGTTATGTTCGCCTGTTTACACCTGGTCCTGTTACAGTCACCCGGAGTGTAGGCTCTTGAAGCTGTGGCTTTCAGTGGGACTCCTCCCAAACATCGGGTTTATCATTTGGATGTACTTGACTGTATTACTTGTTGACACGAGGAGGTAGGATAAGAATAACACGTAGGATCAGACACGTACAAATGGCTCATGTCTTGCCTTTATTTCTCCCTTTTTGGATTTCTGACGTAATCAAATACAACAGTATGGCTTAATGAGGTTAAGAGGCCCATTTTTCGAACAGGAATATGAGCAAGTTCGAGACCCACAGATCATCTATCTACATCTCTTAACATCTTCCCGAGACAAGAGAGTTAACTGACTTTAAAAGTCCAGTTTCCACCCTTACAGAACTAGCCTGGAATTACTGGGCTCGATCGTAGCGCCACCAGTGGCTTTTACCAGTTATGTCCCTTCTAAGCCTCTCCTATGGACCAATCAGATTCCACCCCTCGTATCACTTGCATTTGCTTCAAACAAAATGGCGGCGCCCAGTAAGGACGATCTGATCGATAATCAAGATCTATATTGTGATAAAACGGGTCTTACATCGCGAAATGCATCAAATCACGTGAGCACATTGATTAAAACATGAAAAGAATTGGAAAATATCTGCTTACAACGAGTTGGCGGTGTACACGCTCTGCAAACCCTGCAATCGACCGAAATCTGTACGACACTTTACGAACCGGATTTCGATTTCGTTGCGCGATTTTGATTGGACTTTGCATAGACTCGTTAGTCCAGCCAAAATGTAACTCGAAAATACCAGCCTAGTTCGGCAAGGGTGGAAACTGGACTTTATAGTCAGCTAACTCCCTTGCCTCGGGAAGATGATCTCCTAGGAAATCAGCTCAGGTCAAAAACTTTCTCATGTTGAAATATTCGAAAACTATTCCTGAAATGTCTACCACGGGATATTTGAACGTTTAGCATTACCTTTGCACTTGATGTTCTACGTCACAAATACCGGAATGTATTTGCTGAAATGAACCAAGTCTCATTCTCATTGTATGAACACATCTCATAGCTCCCTTAATGATTTGTGGGATTTTCCTCGTTTCCTAAATTATTGATATCCCATGGGTTAAAGAAGGCGCTTATCATCGATTGTCCTTCTGATTTCAATGTCTACTGTTGCCAGATTCTGGAGGCGGTCAATCAAGCCAAGCAAGGCATGCCGCCCAAAACCATCACAGAAGGTCAAGGTGGGAGCTGTGTCATTCTGTAGACACATGTGACATTCAGAACACACCGGTCGTCAAAGAAACTCTGTGTCTACGCCCGAGCTGCTGCCCGAATGATGGCCTGTTCAGAAATCTCCTTGCACTGGCTTAATGTGCCGCGGAGCTCGGACCGAGGCACCGATTCCTATTTGATGATCGGATCGCAATGGACGTGTTTTGACATTATTTATTATTTATATTTTACTGCTGAAATGATACTCCACTCCAATTATTGATATTATTTTTTCACATCTTTCACTTCATTGAACTTAAGCTACAACTATGCAGTGTTCCATCCGTAAAATGATAATGTTAAATAAACTGTTTTTACATGGGTTATTTGTCGAAAAGATTTTTCTCCATTACGATACCTCTCTGTGGAAAAATCTGGCATCCCCTTCATAGGACGTCGCTCCAGATGAACTTTCTGATGAATCAATTAGCACGGGGGCTTCTATATTCAGAACAGCAATTTTGATTTGTGTATCTTCAAAACGAGCTTAAACGGCCAGTTCCGAATGTACATAATAAAGGCCAAGTATTTATATTGCAACAATAGCGTGTTTCCAATACCACCGAACAAAATAAATGTGGATTCGCTGTCAAACTGATTCGAAGTTGATTTTGTTTTCATTGTTTGTGCAATCCGTTTTCGGGAGGAATGTCAATCGGGATGAAAAGTGATTATTAGCACTATTTCAGCAATAATAAGACAGGGTACACCAGAAACAGGCTTCACACAATGTACCAATGTAGGGAATCGAACATTAGCGTGACGAGCGCACGCTTTATCCACTATCGCAACTTAACTTTAAATTAAATAAAATTTAGAATTTGTATAGCGCATTTTCCAATAAACAACTGCTCAAATGCGCTTAGACCATGAATAATTTACTCAAAGGCTCTCTTGATGAGACAGGTTTTGAGGGTCTTTTTAAAGTTTGTCAGATTTTTTGTTTCTCGGATTTCTTGTGGCAAATTGTTCCATAATGACCTATTGCCAGATGGTTTGGTACGTGACATTGCCAACACCAACAGATGTTGATCTTCTGATCGGAGAGAACGTGCAGACTTGTATGGTACTATCAGTTCATGTAACTATGCAGGAACCAAACTATGCATTGCCTTGTGAACCAGAGTGAGTAGTTTAAATTGCACTTCTTGTTGGAATGGCATTCAGTGTAGTTCAGTCAATATGAGTGAAGTGTCCTCGTTAAGGTGTTCTTGTCGGAATTCTTGCAGCTGTATTCTGAACACGCTGTAGCGTTTCTGCATCCTTCTGTGGTAGGCCATAGAAGAGGGAATTACAATAGTCCTACCAGGAGACTACAAAAAGCTTGGGTCAACGTTGAAGGGGAAACCAGCTTACCTCGTATAAAGACGGGCACCAACGTGGTAAAAATCTGAGACCAGCCCCACTACGACTTCCCTCACACATTAAGCTGACACACAGTGACGATACTGTTCAAAGCGGCGTTAAACCCTACTCACTCACTCACTCGGATAAAGAACGTACGCAGAAGCCCATAGGTTTAGGCACTCACACAGGCCTACAGTGGCTATATTATCATACCTCCATGTCAGAATGATGAGAACTGATTGGTAAACGTGATCTTGATAAAATACTGTGTGACCCGCCTTGGAGGATAATAAATTTCTCAGCCGGGTGTGTGTGTGTGTGTGTGTGTGTGTGTGTGTGTGTGTGAAATTTCTTATACCCCGCCACGAGTAATACAGGCTGCACGTGGATTTCTGACAGGCAGAAGCACAAAACCCCATGTATCCCTCGTGATCCTGCTCCAACGAGCATTGTTGCAGTGGGTATCGTCGAGATAACACAGGCAGTGTGTTAACGTAAAACTAATCTTGCTTAGTTGGAATATAAACTGATGGTGAACGTATACTCAAAGGCAAAAGTTATTGTGACAGTTTTGTTTCATTTACAAATATTTATATCAATGTCTGGCTTTGAACCAAGGGAAATGTTTATGAAAAAGCACGAAGTATCCCAATCAATCAAATGTCGCTGGTATTGCATGTGTTTTGCCAGAAATAATGAATACTTGGGTGAAATTGCTTCAGATGTTCTCTATGAAAGGCCAAATGTCGAATCCCATACCAATGCCACTCTATGCAATCACTTTCGGTCGATTTGATGATATTTCACCATGCCACGCCTCAGTGGCGAACTTTAGGACTGCTTGAATTGCGTACCTCGCAGTGTGATGTCCGGCTATGCAAATCCACAGGGACACCATGTGACACTAATGGCGACGTTATCAACAGAACAACGGTGTGAGAGACCTCCCTTTAGTGGCCGCCCGCCCGGGACAACCCCTCGCCAAGACATATGGATCCAAACCAGACATCATCAACACAAATTCCAGAGAGCAACTCTCACAGCTCAAACCATCCCAAGCCACAACGGGTATTTGAGCACAGCCCGACGACGAAAGTCTTCGTCGTCATATGTGCAAGGCGCCTAGCCAGATGGCCAGTCGTGAACGTCAATAGAACATCGACGTGGATGTATCCAGTGGTGCAGACAACGCTGGCTGTGGACAACACGTGGATAGGTTCCTCTGTATTGGTGGGGCACGTTTCCTTCATTGCCGACACGATGACAGGACACGAGTGTACAGAGGTGGACGCCATGTTTTCTTGAAGGCCATCGCTTTGGAGGTGATGGTTATTACAAAAATTGTCATTGAGGCCTCAAACTTGGAAATATGCCCCACGTCTACAATAAAACATTTTGAAAGCTTTACTAAGTCATTGAATGTTGTAACCCTGATCAAACCACTTTCGGGCAAGAGTAGTACGAGGCTTTTGATATTCATAGAAAGAGCATGCTCGATTGTATACAAAGGTTGTGAAGGGTAGACACCAATTTGCACTGTTTCATAATTTCCTTCCTGATGACCTTGACCTTCGTCACCCACAATAATATTTGGGCAAATCCTAGAGATCATTTAAACAAGTATAGATATAATCAAAAACTCCAAGTATACAGGAAGTGTGTTAAGTCCTTGGTTGTTTGTTAGTTGTTTAACGCAGCACTCAGCAATATTCCAGCTATATGACGGCGGTCTGTAAATAATCAAGTCTGTCTGGACAAGACTATCCAGGGATTGACATCAGGAGCATCGATCCACGCAATTGGGATACGATGACATGCATCGACCAAGTCAGCGACCCTGACCAAACTATCCCGTCGCCTCTTACTACAAGCATGGGTCAAGTCCTTGGTGGATATAGTTGGATAAATGCAACAGTCAATTTACAGAAAATATTAAGCGGGCACATTTCAAAGGGTCCTGGTTAATTACTTACAGGTCATTATTATAATATTGCCGACTTTTATCCAGTGCTGTGACAAGCATTGGGCAATTGTGGTCCATGATTCTACCTCACGATAATAGTTTTTAAAAACTGCATTGTGCATTTTAGCATAGACAATATTAGTACCAATTATTTGTACATGATTATATGAAAACTCTGCTCTCAGCAGAGTGAATTGTACGATTCTGGCTATATGATGACCATGTGTTTATTAAATATGAATCGCTATCGAATAGTGACGACACCAGGTGTTCGTGAAAATAAGAGCGTGCCCTGTCCCACCGGTGGCACTCGTCACAAACACAAGCAGTCACTTGAAAAAACATGGGAACATACGGTATAAGTCAAAATAGGGAATTGCATCAGACATGAGTTTTGTCACTGATGCGTCAAATTTGGAAATGTCCTCCACATGTCTACTATAAACCTGTGAAGACTTTGCTAATGCCTTGAATATTGTAACCTCGATCCAACTTAAGTATTGAAATCAAAACGTACTGATGGAACTGTGCAGGTCTCAATATGTAACACAACACTTCTGCAAATGAATTATAAATTTTAATATTGAACAAATGCATAAAACACAAGACATACAAGTATAAAACAGTTTCATCAGAAAATAACCATTTACTCACAGCAGTCTACTCCTATGTAACAATATACCTTGCACATGTTCTCACCAATCCAATAGAACTACCGATACCATTCAACTCATACCAAGCAAACAAAGGTTACAGAAATCAGTCAACAGTTCACCACACTAAGCCAAGTGGACTACAATACCAGTCTTCAGTTCACCACACTAAGCCAAGTGGACTACAATACCAGTCTTCAGTTCACCACACTAAGCCAAGTGGACTACAATACCAGTCTTCAGTTCACCACACTAAGCCAAGTGGACTACAATACCAGTCTTCAGTTCACCACACTAAGCCAAGTGGACTACAATACCAGTCTTCAGTTCACCACACTAAGCCAGGTTGACTACAATACCAGTCTTCAGTTCACCATACAAACCAAGAAAAGATACCGGTAACAGATTCCATTCAACAACTCACCAAACAAACTAAAATACATTACAGATTCCATTCAACAACTCACCAAACAAACTAAGATACATTAAAGATTCCATTCAACAACTAACCATACAAACTAAGATACATTACAGATTCCATTCAACAACTCACCAAATAAACTAAGATACATTACAGATTCCATTCAACAACTAACCATACAAACCAAGATACATTACAGATTCTATTCAACAACTCACCAAACAAACTAAGATACATTACAGATTCCATTCAACAACTCACCATACAAACTAAGATACATTACAGATTCCATTCAACAACTAACCATACAAACTAAGATACATTACAGATTCCATTCAACAACTCATCAAACAAACTAAGATACATTACAGAGTCCATTCAACAGTTCACCATACAAACTAAGATACATTACAGATTCCATTCAACAACTCACCAAACAAACTAAGATACATTACAGATTCCATTCAACAACTCACCATACTATTCAAGCAAGGATTACTGATTCCATTCAACAACTCACCACACTAATCAAGCAAGGATTACTGATTCCATTCAACAACTCACCACACAAACTAAGATACATTACAGATTCCATTCAACAACTTACCATACTATTCAAGCAAGGATTACTAATTGCATTCAACAACTCACCACACTAATCAACCAAGGATTTCTGATTCCATTCAACAACTAAACACACTAATCAACCAAGTTACCCTATTTATCCAACTAAGAAAACATGGATTATCAATTCACAATTTTAACAACTCACCTTACTCTTAATTGGTTTTACAGATTTCATTTAACAATTCACCAAACAATTCGACCAAAGAAAGCTGATTCTGATACCCAAGCAACGATAACTGATCCCATATACAACTCATAGCAATAAGCAAGCTGAGATTACCACATCTTTAAGAGGCATTTCAGAAGCTCTAGTAGCAAGGAAGACAGTAAGAAAGAATAAACAAGTTAATATCTAAGTTGAAATCTTCTGTCTACAGAGGCTACCAATTACAGTGTACAACTCACCATTGTTACCAAATTGAACTTACACATTAATTCAACAACTCACCATAAACAGCAAGCAATGAATATCCATAGCAACCAAGTGGTAGGATGTAGACATTCAACAACAAGGAATACCCAAAACATTCAACAACTCACCATAGTCACTGAACAATGAATGCCAACACATTCAACAACTCACCATACACACTCAACAATGAATGCCATCACATTCAACAACTCACCATACTCACTGAACAATGAATGCCAACACATTCAACAACTCACCATACATACTCAACAATGAATGCCATCACATTCAACAACTCACCATACTCACTGAACAATGAATGCCAACACATTCAACAAGTCACCATACTCACTGAACAATGAATGCCAACACATTCAACAAGTCACCATACTCACTGAACAATGAATGCCATCACATTCAACAACTCACCATACTCACTGAACAATGAATGCCATCACATTCAACAAGTCACCATACACACTGAACAATGAATGCGATCACATTCAACAACTCACCATACTCACTGAACAATGAATGCCATCACATTCAACAACTCACCATACTCACTGAACAATGAATGCCATCACATTCAACAACTCACCATACTCACTGAACAATGAATGCCAACACATTCAACAAGTGCTATGACAAATGAGCTGGAATCACTGACACCATATAACAACACTAAAACAAAGTTGGACAGAAACTTAAAACAGATATGACATTGTGCAGAAACATTGTGAGAAGTGAACAGTCGATGAGTTCCTCCACAGTGAACAGTTGGTGAGTTCCTCCACAGTGAACAGTCAGTGTTCCTCCACAGTGAACAGTCAGTGTTCCTCCACAGTGAACAGTCGATGAGTTCCTCCACAGTGAACAGTTGATGAGTTTCTCCACAGTGAACAGTCGATGAGTTCCTCCACAGTGAACAGTCGATGAGCTCCTCCACGGTGAACAGTCAATGAGTTCCTCCACAGTGAACAGTCGATGAGCTCCTCCACGGTGAACAGTCGATGAGTTCCTCCACAGTGAACAGTCGATGAGCTCCTCCACGGTAACGATGAGTAACTCCACGGTGAACAGTCGATGAGTTCCTCCACAGTGAACAGTCGATGAGTTCCTCCACAGTGAACAGTCGATGAGTTCCTCCAGTGAACAGTCGATGAGTTCCTCCACAGTGAACAGTCAGTGAGTTCCTCCACAGTGAACAGTCGATGAGTTCCTCCACAGTGAACAGTCGATGAGTTCCTCCACAGTGAACAGTCGATGAGTTTCTCCACAGTGAACAGTCGATGAGTTTCTCCACAGTGAACAGGGGAGGGTGAGTATGTATGATTATGCCGAGTGGTGTTCCTGTACCCACCGTGTTGTCTCATTCAACAAATTACTGTGTGACAGATGCTTTCCTTTTTCCCTTTACAGATTGTCTTACTTGAGACACCTTGCCTTAAACTTGATATAAAAAAGAAAACAAAATGCTAACAACAGTAATTTTAGCGGCTGTGAGATTTAACTAGGACAATGGGTGAAGGCAAAAACACTTGGTCTGATCCTTTAAATAATACATGTAACTTGAATCCACATAAGGATTTAAAATCTCTGAATTGTTTCTGTTCTCAAGTACTAAAAAAAATTAATTGAAATTTAATCTAAACAATTTTTACTTTTGGTAGACCTACTATTATTGGTGGACTTACTGCGTTTTCTTCTGTGTCCAGCACGCATAAGGCCTGACATGATGTTTTTGTCAAATGTACAATGGCAGGCGATAACTTTCTTTTGACTTATTAACATACTGAATCCTCCTACTGGGCTCCTATAGTTGCTGCCTTGTACCCAGGGGAAGGTCAGGGGAGTTCACACAGTTCATGTCTTGCAAGCCTTGCAGAGCTGTAAAACTCACACATTTTGAAATTTGCACATACCCCCAAAACAATCTTAGGACTGAAACATTGACTTAAGGAAACAAGTACCAGTAGCTTTTTTAACCTTTTCCGCCGTGGTGAGTGATCAACATGCCGGTAAAACAGTAAGGGTGATGGTCCTAAAGCCTTAAACAGTCCATCGTGTGTTTTATCACAAAGGACATAAGAATATATATTTTGAAATATAAATGTCACAGCTGGCCATACAAGTTCAAGACATACAAGTTCTACTTTTTACACAGTTAGTCTAGAGGTCATTTCACACTAATATAATGTGTATGTCAGCATATTGTAAACCCCGGGTCAATGCTTATCTCTCACCCTCTTCCATGTAACCCCTTGTCAAATAAACTCCATCTGTCAATCCTTCTATTTAACACATAGGAGGCTAAACTCCATCTGTCAATCCTTCCATTTAACACACGGGAGACTAAACTCCATCTGTCAACCCTGCAACTTAACACACAGGAGGCTAAACTCCATCTGTCAATCCTTACATTTAACACATAGGAGGCTAAACTCCATCTGTCAATCCTTCCATTTAACACATTGGAGGCTAAACTCCATCTGTCAATCCTTCCATTTAACACATTGGAGGCTAAACTTTATCTGTCAAACGGTCCATGTTACCTTTTGTCAACTAAACTCCATCTGTCAATCCTTCCATTTAACACATTGGAGGCTAAACTCCATCTGTCAATCCTTCCATTTAACACATTGGAGGCTAAACTTTATCTGTCAAACGGTCCATGTTACCTTTTGTCAACTAAACTCCATCTGTCAACCCTTCCATTTAACACATTGGAGGCTAAACTTTATCTGTCAAACGGTCCATGTTACCTTTTGTCAACTAAACTCCATCTGTCAATCCTTCCATTTAACACACAGGATGCTAAACTCCATCTGTCAATCCTTCCATTTAACACATAGGAGGCTAAATTCCATCTGTCAACCCTTCCATTTAACACATAGGATGCTAAACTCCATCTGTCAATCCTTCCATTTAACACACAGGAGGCTAAACTCCATCCGTCAACCTTTGCATGTAACACATAGGAGGCTAAACTCCATCTGTCAACTCTTCCATTTAACACATAGGAGGCTAAACTCCATCCATCAACCCTTGCATGTAACACATAGGAGGCTAAACTGCATCCGTCGACCTTTGCATGTAACCTCTCTTTCTGTGTAACCTGGTCACCTCAAATAAAAGAAAGAAACATTTTGTTACATGGTGCCAAAGAAAAAACACACATGTTCAAAATGAAGAAGAGAGAAAACATTGTAACATTGTACTTGTTTTTTGGTAAAATTGGTTTCAGTGCTCATATCACTATACCCAAGATCGTTGTTGTAGGCTTGACTATGTGTGAAAGATATTTTACATGGGAAACGGTTAGAATTATGCCACAGATGAATTCCCACTTCATAAACACAAATGGTGGAAATGGTTTTAGAAAAAAAATAATGACTGTTCTCGTTTGGATATTTATTCCTTTGTTTTGTTTAGAAAGGATTGATGATGCCGGATGGTGATAATCATGGCGAGAGATCAGTGCTGGATACCCATCCGGGGGAAAGTGATGAAGAATCCTGCTGGAATCGCAGAACCATCACAACAACATGGCATATCTACATCAGCTTCTTGACTGGACAAATAGCGTTAATTTCATTCAAACTAAATATTGGAAATCAATGTAAAATACCTTCCTAGTATTTCAACTAAATATCCAGCATTAACTATTATGATATCTAAAATAACATTAATTTAAACAACAGTTATCAATATCCTTGTGATCTAAATACATGCAAAAATTGAGATACTACATATAGATCTACCACAATTATTCTAGTATGCACATCTTACCAAGACTTATACAATGAATGGTTAAGATTTATATTTACATATTTAAGAAGCAGTAAATATCTGTCATAAAGACGTAGATTTTGACAGGTATGGAAGTAACATTTCTAGTGAACCACACACTTTATACCTCATGCATAACTACTTGAAGAAAGTCCCTATTGATAGCGGGGCATGACATTGATATCTCGTATAATATAATATTACCATGTATTAAAAAGTTTAAATGTAGAAAGTCATGCTATAACAAGATATTCAGTAAATACAACATACTCTACTTCAGTTTTAAATTACAGCATCCATTATCTCCCTGCCAACAACAGACGACATCAATGAACATATGTTTACCTAGCTGACAGGTTAGTGACAGGTGATTGACAGCTGCCTCACTGACATATACACCTTAGGAGATGAAATTAACATATCCATGTACAAGACATTTTGTTTCATATTGAACTAGTTTATTTTGTCTGCAAGCAAACTAGAATACCTACTTGGCAATGAGGCCAAACTTTGACATGTTTTGTTTTATTGACAATAATAATTAAAATGTCACAAGGTGTGTATGGAATATGATTAAGCATAAAACTGTTCAATTCTAGAACCACCGACTGACATCTATGTCCAGACATGATCACTGGTGTAAGACTATAAGCAACATTTCCTGAAGATGACATTGATATTTTTTGGTCCAAAATGTTGAACTGTTCTTCAACACAACATCTAACATACATAATATGGAATACGTTTATTGATCATACAATAAATACCACTGATTCAACATAGTGATGTTTTGCAAATGAAAGAAGAAATTTGCATTAACATTTGCAGTGCTAACACAACACAGTAATGTTACATATGTATCTGTAAGTTTCTGGATCTGAGACATTGTGCAAGGAAAAAATATTCAATAACTGTAATGCGCAGATGGATAATTTCAGCATCACTGTAACCATGGTTACAACTTTTATATTTACATTCTCCTAATACATGTAATATTTAAGACTTAAATTTGATGTTGACAATAACACTTTTCCTGGCTAACCCAACACTAGTCTATGGATAAACACTGCGTGAGATCTGTGTATTTTTTTATTTCAAAATAAAATCTAACCAGTTTGTCTCCGTTGATTAACAAATAGAAAACACTTGCTTGAAAACAAGGAATGTTCCCAATGTGCTGCATTTCATAATATAACTTAATATATATTCTATGAAAATCAAAAATGGGATAAAGATTAATTTTAGTTAGAGCATAAGAGCTCAAAGAAGATTGCACTTGCATTAGGATGCAATGAAATACATAAGGTTGTTGAAAAAAAATCACATGAAAATATTGCTATATATATATGTATATATCAAAATACTGTGTTGCGCTTGTAATTATGATGAAAGTACTGAATACACTCAAAGATAATAATGATATCACAAGAATAAACAAACTGTATTGTTATCATTCAGATGCATATTTAATAATCATTCACAGCTTTATGTAAATAAATAACCTCAAGCTAACATCACATGAAGACATATATATATATATATATATACGAAAAAATCAGATGAACCATACTCTCAGTCTGGACAGTGTAGACATTCTTCCACCTGCTCTCTAATATTCAAAATAGTCACATAGCGAATATATTTAAATATATCATGTAAGTTAAAACCCATCGATGACAAGGAAGCTCTGAGATAGGACAAATTGCAGATAGAAAATATCATTTTGTACATAAAAGAAATATCATCAAAATGACGACTCTTAGAAATGGACAATAAAATTGTAAGTATTACCAAAACCTAAATAAAAACATGGTGTGGAAAGTCAGCGTCATTGAGACTTTCTGGCCGTCATCTTCCTCTGTCGACTCCTGAAACAGACACAGGTCAGATGAGGAGGAGGGGGAGAGGAGGGTTCACTTGCATCCCATGCATGTCACAACACATATATACGAGGCCAGCCAATGGAATTAAAGCGCCAATTCCTGAGTTGTAGATGTCTACTGATGGAAATGAGTAAGGGAACACTTCGTCTTAGACACAGTGGGTTTCCTGCCTTTGCCTACCACATACGCGTGGGAAACAATCCACACAAACACATCTCAACATTTGATTCTGACGTGTTGAATTTGAATGAGCTCTATTGACAGTAAAGCTTATTTCCCTATATGTTTCATTGTTCCCTTATTTGTTTCCATCAGTATATATTCCCCAAACCCAACCTCATCACAATACTGACACATCCAACCTCATCACAATACTGACACATACAACCCCATCACAATGCTGACACACCCAACCCCATCACAATGCTGACACACCCAACCCCATCACAATGCTGACACACCCAACCTCATCCCAATGCTGACACACCCAACCTCATCACAATGCTGACACACCCAACCCCATCACAATGCTGACACATCCAACCCCATCACAATGCTGACACACCCAACCTCATCACAATACAGACACACCCAACCCCATCACAATGCTGACACATCCAACCTCATCACAATGCTGACACACCCAACCCCATCACAATGCTGACACAGCCAACCCCATCACAATGCTGACACAGCCAACCCTATCACAATGCTGACACACCCAACCCCATCACAATGCTGACACAGCCAACCCTATCACAATGCTGACACACCCAACCCCATCACAATGCTGACACATCCAACCTCATCACAATGCTGACACACCCAACCCCATCACAATGTTGACACACCCAACCCCAAGATGATGTACATATGTTCATCTTATGTTGTACAGCAATACATTATTAATTTATGTAAAAAATCAGAGATCTGAGATTTTATTTATTTAGACTAGTTTATGCATCTATGTTTTGACTTTGATAAATTTATGGGACCAGGGTGCAACCTGGTTTTGTCTGGTGCAACTGGGTTTTCATGTCAACATGCACCTGGTGCTAGTTAAATCAAGTTCCTTAAATCGAGCCCTGATATGTCTTGTCACTTCCAAACAACCCAAATTAGCAGTTGAATTTCAGGTATGGACACACTTTGAAGAAAAAGACTGTGATGTCCATGGATGCCTAGTGAACGTCTTGTCTGCTGAGTGACTCTCCTAGGTCTCCCCGAAGTACACAAGATGAAAACTAAAATTATGGTACTCAGAATTAGTCAAAAAGATCTTACAGAGGTAATTGAGTACTTCTTTATCATAGGCTTCTCATACAGCAAGTTGTAAATCAGCCTCAACTACAGCCACTAGTCTGAAGCACGAGTCTACTAAAACTCTGTTGTTAGCCATAATAACAACAGTATATACACTAAATTCTACACTAAATTCTACTTAAACCGTTGCTATGGCTAGTCGTCTCTAAAGTTTTGGGGACTTGTAAAATAACACCTATCCAGCCTCCTCTTCCTGCCTAGTTTTGCCATTTATACAACCTCTCTTGTGTTAGATCTATTTAACAGTTTGTGAAACTTGACTATTCTGCACCACAAGAGACCTATGATGCCAGTATGTTTCTCTCGATCTCGCTCCTATAATAAATGCCACTGTAAACACTGAGAATATGTCTGTTGAATAAGTGAAATAGTGTGGTGTGGTGTGGTGGGGTGGGGGTAGGTTGTCCATTCAAAAAATCTCAATAATTCTGAGGGTGTCCCCTCTGGATCCGCCACTACTTTTAATACTTGATTACACTTCTGTCAGAGGCTGTGTGAATATAATTGCATGCTTCCCTAAACTACTATCTGGACATTGTAACACTACTTTCCTTATTCCTTATATTATGCCTCACTACGTGACACAGCAACTTAAATGGTTTGTAAACGACAAAAACATTCACCTTCTAACAACAACCTTAATTGGGTCCAGCACTGGGTCTGATTCATTCCAGTCAGTGAACTTGTTCATAGTTTAGTAACAGTTCTTAATATATACCAAGCAAAACAAGTTAAAGAACACCCACAATTGGAAGGCTGTGTGTTGCAATACCCACCAGCCATGACAGATTAACTATAAAACAAATTGGTTGTTCTGTAACTTCTTTCGTGTAGCATACATGGAATATTGTTGACTGCAGCATTAAACAACTTCCACTCACTCACTCTTTGGGGTAAACGTCTGAGACCTGCATCACTTCGGGCTTTCCACCCACATTAAACTGACATGCCTGGATATAACTGGAATACTGTTCAAAGTGGCGTGAAACCAAACTCACTCACTCCTTGGGTTTAGTCAACTTTGCTTATGACAGCCTGTATGTGAGGAGTCAACATTACCATGATTACTGATGCAGAACGACCACATGGCTGACACTAAGGCTTGGCATTGACAGTGATCTTACCTTGCTTCTGTCCTGGATGACGTGTACTCGAACCACATCACATGGGGAATAAGTGTTGAATCTCGTAACATTAACAGCTCGCCTAAAGGGCTGAAACAAAACATTCAGATATGCAAACAGCATGCTGGTAATCAGTAGTGTCAAGTGTGCTTTACAAACATCAAACTGTTGTAGCAATTGTTACTAAATATCAACATGAAAAATACCTTTAGATTATGGGTATCTGGATAAAAAACCTATCCAATGAGTTAAGTTCACAATCATAATGTAATACTGCGATAACTCTGAAATGACTTACCAAGCTGTTATAAGGGAGATAACTCTGAAATGACTTATCAAGTTGCTATAAGGGAGATAACTCTGAAATGACTTACCAAGTTGCCATAAGGGAAATGACTGTGATTGACTTACCAATCTGCTACAAGGAGGAGATAACTGTGAAATGACTAACCAATCTGCGATAAGGAGGAGATAACTGTGAAATGACTTACCAAGCTGCTATAAGGGGGAACAACGGAGTGACTACAAACTGCACCACACCAAAATATAGTGTTCCTAGAATGATCCCAGCCACAGCACCCCAGAACACTTGGCCCAGTGAATGGTATCCCAGATAAACCCTGAAAGACAAACACAGACAGTTATAACCATGGTAAACACAGACAGTTATAACCATCATAAACACGGACAGTTATAACCATGGTAAACACAGACAGTTAACCATGGTAAACACAGACAGTTATAACCATGGTAAACACAGACAGTTATAACCATGGTAAACACAGACAGCTATAACCATGGTAAACACAGACAGTTATAACCATGGTAAACACAGGCAGTTATAACCATGGTAAACACAGGCAGTTATAACCATGGTAAACACAGGCAGTTATAACCATGGTAAACACAGACAGAAATTACCTGTCAGTAAAGTCACAACAAAAAGATTTGTTTTAGTCAAGTCCCTAAAACTAAAAGCATGTATGAACCCTATATTGTGTCAGTACATAAATAGTGGCTGTCAGCGTCAGCTGTGTTACACATCTCCCGTCAGTGTCTCCATACTCATTAATCATTTTGATGTATATTTCAAGTCAGTGACAGCTGCCGAGACCATGCCATGTGATCCACTTCAACGTGTGGACACAGTTGTCCACTGGCAGGTCACACATGTGTGTTTCACCTCCACACATGTACTGATCAAGAATATTTGGGGGGATATTATTTGTGCAGTGAAGACTTGAGTTGGTGTACATGTGGACAATACACAAACATATGTTGCAAGTAGAGTACTTTTTGAGAAAGAAGTTGTTGTGTTGAGATATAACAATTTCTGTTGCTTAACGCCGCACTCAGAAATATTCCAGCTGTAAGATGGCAGTAAATAATTGAGTCTGGGCCACACAATCCCATGATTGACATCATGAGCATCGATCCACGCATTGGGATACAATGACATGAATTAAACAAGTCAGCGAGCCTGACCATCTGATTCCGTAAGTCACTTTTTATGCCTCATAGTCGCCTGTTACAGCAAGCATGTGTTGCTGGAGACCTATTGTCTACCCAGATGTTCACGGGTCTATAGCCACTGTAGACAATCTGATTAACAAACAACTCCTCCTTCTAGACCTGCTCTCACCTGCTGTACGACACTAAAGCTGCTACCACGAAGCCACCAAAGCTGGTTGCATATTTCCATAGATCATCTAACCAGGTATAATTTTTGTACACTCTGAAAAAGAAATAATGATTCATAAATCTTTGCTAAAACATACAAAAGATACATTGGGTGGAAATACTATACAGTGGTTGTATTTTCTAATACACCATAATTATTTTTATCTATTTTAGTCAGATTATTGCTTGTATGCTTGTTAATTAAGCTTGCTTGGATATTGGCATGTTGTAAGAAATAATTCTCCCTTCTGTGGAATTGCATCAATTGCAGTGAAGTCAGTCAATTATGTGTGAAGTGAGGTGAAATTTTGGCGTATGTGGGTGTGTGGACGTTTTTTGTTTTAACTGTTCTAGTTATTTGGATAATTTTATGCTTAATTTTGATATTTGGGACTCCCAAGTGAGCTCGAGACAACCAGGAATTCAACACATACAAGTGTGACACACCGACATTCGAGTGTAACTGCTTTTTAAATGATGATCCAATATGTGTTTTGTTTTCCTGGCAGTTTCCGGATAGTGAGTGAGTTTGGACTGACATCCATTTAGAACAGTATTTCAGTTATATCACGGCATGTCAGATGTTCATCTGACTCCTAAATGTTTACCAGTTTAGAGAAACCCACAAAACCAAGGACATCTTCAGAGTGAGCCAGGAATCGAACCCACAGTCAGAGGTCGGCATGCCAAGGGGATGCAACTCTGCACACTGACTTACAGAGCTTAGACAACACTCAAAACAGACGTCTGATGGTAGTATTCATTCTCAATGGACCACTTCAATAGGACCATAAAACAGCGGTACATAACTGGCACTAAGGGACGGAATAATATCTTGCGACATCTGGTACAAATAAATGCATTTTTTCTGTCTCATACTCCAGTAGGGGTAGAACACATTTATTTTAATCACTTTTTTACAGATGACATTTTTCATTCATAGTAAAATATGAAATACTTCTTACCTGATAAATAGGAAAAATGTAAGATACATAGAAAAGAACCACATGAACTGCGAATGACTTGATGGCATTCCATATTCTGAGAAAACATTTTTTCTATCTGAAAAAGAATGAAATTAGAATAAGAATCAGAACACATCTGTGCCAATGAGTGAGTGAGTGAGTGAAAGTTGTTTACTCTCTTAATCTCCAAATTAAGGCCTTAAAATGATTTAATCTGGACCAGGCAGAGTAGTGTAGTTTGAAATTAACAATCCACACTGTAGAGGAGGCATAATAACACACAGTTGGCTAGATTACCATGGAGTTCTGTACCATTCTATTCTAAGAAACTGGAATCTGATTGGTCCAGTCCTGCTGACACTCACCTCTGATTGGTCTGTATTCTCTTATGATGTGTTTTAGTACCCAGTTGATTGCCTCATTAACCAACATACCCAGGAAGAAGGAAATCTTAAACAAAGAGGGGATCACAATTCTGACAAAATCGTCATAGAAAATGCATATTGTGCACAATGCATCATTTACGGTGCTTTTTAACATTTTGAAACTACCATAAAATGCCAATAAACCAAGTTGTACTCAAAAGAAACATATATACCACAATGGGCAGGTATTTTCAATAATTTTAGTTAATTTATTCATTCATTACTGACTGGTTTGTTTGTTATTGTTTTCATAAATCCCAAGTGATTGTACTCACGGTGTGCAAATCTCTTCTGAAGATGATGAGTGTGACAAAGGCCACCAGAATGAATATTGGCAGTAGACTGAGCCATGCCAAGCCGTACCCAATAATATCACCTGCAGAATGATAAATACCACATTAATTATCATTGCAATATTCACATAGGTCTATACTTCAGTTCTATCACAGTTTGCATGATTTAACTGATCAGTACCAAAAGATATAATTACAAATTTAAAATAGACCTACTTTTTACTTTCTAATTTACGTTTTTAGAAAAAAGTCTTTGTACGAAATATTTTTTAAATTTCATACAAAATCTAATTGGAGATTTACTATATTTCTAAAAATACCTAAACAACTAGCACCATATAAGAACGCATTATACTTATTATATTATCCATGGCGAGCAGAATGTGTCTAACGAAAATAGGTGACACGTCATTTGATTCGATAACATTTTCGAGAGCATACGAGGCACCGGTCCGGAGCATGCATATGGTTTGATTTAAGGTCTATGCATGAAATATTTTAAAATTAGTGTTTAAAGTGACCTACCCTTGACATATTCCACGTGAGTTAAACTGATCGCTTTCCATTGAAGGGGCGTGTCCGCTTCTTGTCCCGGGATAGTATTCGATTCACTGCTTGCACTCGCCATAGTTGATCAGGGACTGCGCATGCACGGGGATATCCCATTAGTGTTTCCGCTGAATATGGAAGCCTCCGATTGGCCGAGTTGTGTGGGGATTCCCCAGACGGAATCCCGACGCAAAATGGCGACCAAATCGCATGCCTTGTCGTTGCAGGTTATTGCAAAATGTTCAACAACAAAAGCTCGGACATGTAAAATGACTCTTCCACACGCAGTTGTTGATACGCCCGTGTTTATGCCAGTGGGAACTCAGGGAACGCTGAAAGGACTTGTCCCGGAACAATTAGCAGAACTAGATTGTAAAATAATGTTAGGCAACACATATCATTTAGGAAATCGTCCAGTGAGTAAACATATGATTCAAGTCCCTTGATAAATTGTACCCATCGACAAGTAGCGTGGCGTTAAATCTATTCATTGTACATATATTTAACATCAAACCGGTAAAAACTTGGTCAAATGATAGAAATATAAGAATAGATAAATTAGGATAGAAGTGATTCGACCCGTGGCATTTGATTGCCAATTTAAGAAATTTGTATTTACGTTTGCGTTTCCATATTTCGAAATAAACCCTAGGTCCTCCCAATAACGGACTAATGTTTCCTGAACGATGCCACTGATTTCATATTGGTAACAATATTTTTCTGTGTGTGTGTGTTAATGATTAAATAATCAGTCTCTTAAGTTATTATTATTATTGACATAATTATTTATAAGAATTGACTTGAATATGCTTTTGTGTTTATGGAGCTATAAACGTAAAACAATTTGGCAATGCACCATTCATAAATGCAAAATATATTGAAGTCAGTTCTTAAATATCCACGTAGAAATCATGATATATAAATAACCATCTGTAGATTTGGCAGTCAAGTTGACAACCTGTTATCACACCTGGTACTACATAAAACACGGATATGAAGTCAGTGAGGGTGAGTGAATGAGTTGAGTGCAACGCTGCTTTGAACAGTATTCCAGTTATATTATCGCGTGTCAGCATAATGTGGGAGCAAAGCCCAAACTGATGCTGGTCTTAGACATTTGCCACTTTGGTGAAACCCACGAGCACGGGTATGGTGCTGACAAACCTAGAAACATGATCCAGGCGAACCAGGATTCAAATCACAGGTTTCAGGCATGCCAAAGGAACGCAACTCTGCACATTGAATTGCAGCGCCAATGTTAGACAACTCGCTCACACATGCCCCCAAGGTCAAGAGACACATGTGAAAATCCTAGCTGCGGTTACCCACATCCAGTTATCATTTGATATCTGTTTTCCTTCTGAAGGCTACGGACCATCCTGTTAGAAAGAACTGCCAGCTTTAAATCCTACAGCCCACTTCTACCATGACTGCTTCTCTGATTCACTATAGGGGCGGTTGGGTAGCCTAGTGGTTAAAGCGTTCGCTCGTCACACCGAAGACCCAGGTTCGACATGGGTACAATGTGTGAAGCCCATTTCTGGTGTCCCCCGCCGTGATATTGCTGGAATATTGCTAAAAGCAGCGTAAAACCATACTCACTCACTCACTCACTCACTATAAATCATAAGATGTTATATAAATCTACATACCAATCTGTACTTTAATCGCTTATCTCCAAATATGTACAATTTTCTTCATATTGAAATGTAGCTGTGAAATCCAGGATCGAAAACAAAAGCTTGTACAGGTTTTGTTGTATTCAGTACAATGATGTGTGTTTCATTAGTGTTTTGTTTACAGGGTCCAGAGCTTCTGGAAAAAGCTGGGGGACTCCACAAGTTCATGAACTGGGACCGGGCACTTTTGACTGTATGTATATAAGATGTGATAAACACACTTTCATATCTAATTCCTAAATCCCCAAGTCTGATTGGGTTTTAACTTCTAATCTTTTAATTATTCTTTACATTTACTGACACGAATATATGCCATAAAGAAGAACTCAGTCCTACATGGATCCGAGTCCCAGCTGAGTCTGCCATATATCCTTGTCCTACAATGGATCCGGGTCCCAGCTGAGTCTGCCATATATCATTGTCCTACAATGGATCCGGGTCCCAGCTGAGTCTGCCATGGATGTTAGTCCCAGCTGAGTCTGCCATGGATGTCAGTCCCAGCTGAGTCTGTCATGGATCCGAGTCCCAGCTGAGTCTGCCATGGATGTTAGTCCCAGCTGAGTCTGCCATGGATCCGAGTCCCAGCTGAGTCTGCCATGGATGTTAGTCCCAGCTGAGTCTGCCATTGATCCGAGTCCCAGCTGAGTCTGCCGTGGATCCGAGTCCCAGCTGAGTCTGCCATTGATCCGAGTCCCAGCTGAGTCTGCCATGGATCCGAGTCCCAGCTGAGTCTGCCATGGATCCGAGTCCCAGATAAGTCTGCCACGTGTTGTATGTGATGTTATTGGTTTGCAGGACAGTGGGGGCTTCCAGATGGTCTCGTTACTGAAACTTGCAGAGATAACAGAAGAAGGGGTTAAATTCCAGTCTCCACATGATGGATCCGAGATGCTCCTCACACCTGAGAAGTCTATAGAAATACAGAACTCAATTGGTGAGTGGATATTGTGTTATGCCACAATCAGCAACATTCCAGCTATATTATGTCAGCCTGTACATAAGGCCGTAGTGAACTAATTGCTAGATTATCATCCCCGCCTGACTCACAACTAACTGCTGAAGGTCGGGGGTTTGATCCATGGCTGCATCAAACGAAAAGATGTTAAAAAAATGGTATTTGTTGTTACCCCGCCTGGCGCTTGGCATTAAGGGGCCAAACAAGGACTGGTCGGCTTGGAGACAGTACACTGTGTCTTAGTGGAGTATCCATGTTAAACTGTGGCATGGTATCTCGGTGGGCTAGCACTATAAAATTGGCATTAGTCCTGACTAGTACAAGCAGCCATACAAACATGCATGGACATCGCTATATAAGTGCAATAATCTTGGACGCGACGTTAATCCCTATTTAACCTCAACTCACGGCAGTGGGGTGCTGGGGACCTAACCCGTGGTCCCCAGGGGCAGAATTCAGTTGGTACAAGTTACAGCTCTGAGAAGTCTTCCAGACATGAAGTGCATCGTTTCTGGAACCTCACCCAGAAACCTTTAGATATCTCCAGGGAAGTTTTGTATTTGCTGATGTTTGTTGGTTGTTCATGCCTCACGATGTTGTTGCAGGGGCTGACATCATCATGCAACTTGACGATGTTGTTCACAGCACAACAACAGGGCCTCGTCTAGAGGAGGCAATGTACAGGTGAGTCTTACTCTAACAGTTAGAGGATGCCAGACACCTGTGTGCCACTGTGGCACTGAAAAGTCTTGAAGATACACTCACTCCTGTTTAAGGCCACTGTGTCCTGGCAGATCAGGTTATGTTTTAATTCATTCTTGAACTGTTTTTTCTGGTGCATCTTGACTTTTCTTACAGCTGTAATTGTGAATTACAGAACAATCCGCTGGCTTGACCGCTGTTTGAAGGCGCACCAACGCCCACACGACCAGAACATTTTCCCAATCGTGCAGGGAGGACTGGACCGGAACCTTAGGATCAAGTGCGCTAAAGGTGGGACCCAAACACATTGTTGAGTGACTGTTAGCGAGAAGTCGTTCTGCCACATCTGACCCCTATTGATGATGACTTCCCATGAGATGGCCCACGTACAAAGGGGGGCACAGGTGGCCCAGTTGTCTCAGGTGCCGCAATTCGCTGTGCAGAGTTATGTCCCTTGGGCACGGTTGAAATCTATGATCAGGGGTTTGAATCCCGATTTGCCCCGATTATGTTTCTAGTTTGTCAGCACCATATCCGTGCTCTTGGGTTTCAGCAAAATGGTAAACGTCTTATACGGTCATCACTTGGGGCTTTCATCCCACATTAAGCTAAAATGTTGTGATATAACTGGAATACTGTTTAAAGCAAGGTTAAACCAAATCACCCATGTATAGGCTCTTTCCCATTGATTTTACAATAACCATTAGAAGTGGCCTTTATTTACTTAATATAACAGGGGCGGTCGGGTAGCCTAGTGGTTAAAGCGTTCGCTTGTCACGCCGAAGAATCGGGTTCGATTCCAGACATTGGTACAATGTGTGAAGCCCATTTCTGGTGTCCCCCGCCATGATATTGCTGGAATATTGCTAAAAGCAGCATAAAACCATACTCACTCACTCACTCTTAATATAACCAGTGTTTCATTTTGATAAACATATAAGTTATAAGAAAGCAGCAGTGCCTGGCATAAGCAGTTGAACAAAAATCAGAGTCTACATATTTTAACAGTCTGTGACAGTTCCTGTAAATATGATTACCGTATTCGACGTATTTGCTAATATATTGGCTAGTGAACAATTCCAATTCCTTCCGATTGATCAATGTACACAAGACTTATTTATTCGTGTATAGTACACACTCGTGTGTTATATGCACCCTTAATTATGGGCAATTAAATTCTTGAAAAATATATCTGTCGTGTATAATACATACAGACTTTTTTTTGTATCATTTCAGGCTGTCAGCATAAACCACGAAATTTACAATCTTTCAACTCTGTTGTTTTTCACCAAAATGTTATTCTAAAAAGAGCCCCCTATTTCTAATTTTGAGAGCGCCCTGGGCGCTTATTATGTCGAATACGGTATATCATAAATGGTCATAACAAAGACTTTTCATTGATAACTGTATCAACTCTAGCCTTCATCAAGTCATAACAAACATAGTCAGTTAATCGTAACTTGGGTAATGAATCTATCGTCATGTGAGTTGTTAACAGAAAAATCCAACCTGATCTGGAACATGGCTGCCAAGGCGACTATTTGAAAATGTCATTTTTGGACTTTGCTCTGCCATTTCTGCATGTATCATTCTAAAATTTGATGTGCAGCAAGTATGTGGTTTTGGAATAACATGTACTATGTATTTTTTAATATTTTGATTTTTGATCCATCTATGACCTTTGACTTTCACCTACCCTCATTTTACTTGTGTTTATTTCAACACCTCCTGAAATTACCAGGACTGTGAGCATTGATGAAGCTGAAACTTTGCATG